TATAAATTCCATATATTTTTTATTATGCGCACAAACTGCCAGAAACAAACGCAAGCCGCGCGACGCAAATACTCTGAGACAATCATGATTTGAGATGGCTCCAGGTTGGCACCTCTGCATCATGTATGAGAAATACACATTTTTTTCAGTCAGTATTTAATACAGCTGACAAAATAAATTGTTAAAATATGTATTATGTGCTTCAGTTTTTTTTAATTCAGGAGATTATAAAACAATCCTTCATTTTATGGAAAGACCCTCTTGATTCAAGAGAAAACTCCAGTTTTTTAAGAAAATGGCTGCTTATCAATAAATTGTTGGTCAATCTGTAAGATAAATCAACTTCAGATTAACTCAATCAATAACTTCTATCACTAATTTATACAGGAATCAATTTAATTTGTATCTACCAGGGTTCCACAAGATTTTCTTTTCTTTACGTTGACATTACATTACATTTTTTACATTTGACATTTTTTGTCACCTGCCCGACATGAAAAGTTACCTGCCCGACATGAAAAGTTACCTGCCCGACATGAAAAGTTACCTGCCCGACATAAAAAGTTACCTGCCCGACATGAAAAGTTACCTGCCCGACATGAAAAGTTACCTGCCCGACATGAAAAGTTACCTGCCCGACATGAAAAGTTACCTGCCCGAAACAAAAATGTTCAAAATTTGAAAAAAATCTAAGAAAAATGTGTTCTATATTTGTACAAAAAAAAAATACAGTATTAACATGGTTATACAGAGGTACATAATATATGGCATCTGATTTAGTCAGACTGAGTCACTAACAGTCAGTCAGTTGTTTTATTAAAAACATGTAAAACCTTTTTAGACCTTTCCAGTGTTTCCCCTAGAGTACTGGCCTTGGGAGGGCTGCTTATAAAAAACAGAATGATCAACAGCAGCAGCTTTGTTTTAAATACAATTTACAGAACATGAAAGTCTGCAATTTAGATTAATTGAATATTATATAGTGAATCTCATATCTAAAGATACATTTAAGAAATGTTGAACTGGAGTCTCCATACAACATGATGATAAATCTGACGTTATTTATACTAGTCTGAATATAATTAGAGATGTCTTAAAAAGGTATTTTGAATTGTCAAAATATATTAAGAGATGTCTATTTGTTTCTTTCTTTCATTCATAAAAACAAAACAATCTATGTACAGCATTAAAAAACAAAGAAAACCATACCCTGAATTAAAACGGTGCAGATCTATCATATGTGCCCCTTATTCTCAAAAATCAACTTCAACATACAAACAAGCTCAATATGGAAAGATCTCCATACTTAAAAAATAAGTAAATACAAAAACAACCAATTTCATCTCTAAAGGTTTAGTTGGAAATCTAACAAAATCTCTATATAACTTATATTTTTCTTACAAGATTTTAATAATCTCTTGGTCATCCAGGGTTTTACATTGACATTTTTAATTTTTGGAACACACTAGTCTTATCATATATTGATTTATATACTTTTAAAAATGTGTCATAATCCACATTCTTCACATACAGTGGGGAAAATAAGTATTTAGTCAGTCACCAATTGTGCAAGTTCTCCCACTTAAAAAGATGAGAGA